CTGCACAATTATGCTCAAAAGCTGCATGGATATATAAGGGTTGTGGCTTGCACAACTGGTTAAGCACATGCAGTAAAAAAATTGTAGATTTATAATTGAACACATTAGGTACATTCAAAATTTTATATATTAACAGCTCCATCAATTCTAATTTTTACTGGAAGTAGATCTCAAATCTCAGAAATGCTTGAATGGAGACTTAACAGATGACTTCTTAACAAAAGCTTTTCTCTTTGGCACAGACATCCCCCCCTGTACTGATCATGAAGTGGATCAGTTTCCCCTCCGGATGCGAGACTGGCTTAAGAACATCCTTATTCAATTTTATGAGCGTGACCTGAACACTTCTGGGATTCTAACTGAAAAGCAAAGGAATAAGGTCAGCAATCCTTTTCAAATAAGACCATGCAGTTATAGGGACTAGCCCAAAACATCTCATACAAAATGGCATGAATTAGACGACTTCTAAGATGGTTTATTTCCCCCCAAAACATGTGTTGCTTGCCTCAGGACAGAAGATGGGGATAAAACTGGTTTAATCTCCTAACAAGCTGAGGCCCCCCTTAGCTGAGTCTGACAATTAAACCACAAGAATTTCACTTCCTTTCTAGTTACTGCCAAAGGTGACAGAGACAGCAGCAAAAATGTCGTGGACTACTAAGGCAAGCTTTTCATGCTGCATATGGTCACCAACACTAAAACACGTTTCCCTAGGGGTATTATATTATCAAGTTTCATTTCTCCAAAACACCTTCTTGCCAGATAGTTCTCTTCAAGACAGATCTTCAACCTGAAACAAAAAATAACAATTTCTGTGTTGAGCTCAGGTAAAAAAGATCTATCAGAATGACAAGCGCCTTGTGGCTGGTGACCACCCGGTTGAGCTGCTCCTGCATGACTTTGAGAAAAATTACCACATGTATGTGTATCCTGTGCACTGGCAGTTTCACCAGCTTGATCAGCATCCTGTTGACAGGTAAAAAAATATATGTGGTTCAGTTCTGATTTGCTGATTAAACTCAAGCTAGTTTACTTTTCTACACACCTCAAGGGAGTCTCTACATACAGAACCAGTCCCTTAGTTGTTAGAAGCCATTATCACCCCCTCTCTAACACAGAACTTTTTCTCTCATTGTTTTCCTGATCATACCCTAGGTCAGAATCTGCTATCCTCTTGCCTTGCACAATCAAGTATTACACTGTAAGCTCTACAGTGTCTTAATACCTACTAATGCTCTCAGCCAGGAAGAAGTCCTGTTATACTGAAGCTAAGAGAAACAGGCTAAGTACAAAGGACAGAGCCCTGGCAGCAAAAATCCACTAGTGAGGTATCCATAATTTTCAACTAACACCACAGAGGTCTCTCAGTTTAAGGAGCAAATATAGTCACAGTTCAGAGGAAGCTTCCACCTTCTGAGAACATAACTCAGATTTCAAGGTTTTGGTCATATCAGCCAGTGATGGAATCTGTATTTCCAAGTTCAGACCTTCAATATCTCAGGACAATCACAGTTACTGTTTTAGAACATAGTTAAGCAATTTGCAAGCTTGATATCCTGAGGATTAACAGCAAAACTCCACAAGCAATGAGTTGTGAGCAAGTTGCTCCTTTCAGTACCTGAAATTACTACAAAAATAATACTTGTTGTAGGAAAAAAGATGTTGGCAAACAAATATTCAGCAAAAGCATTTTAGCTCATCAGATATTAGACATCTTTATCATGACCTGGGACATATTCACTACAGAAGCACTGCAACAAAATACACTGGGGCATCTCTGATAAAGCCATCACTGCTGTCTTGTAGCATCTTAGATCAGCTTTGATAATTCTGCTGATTTATTAAGGAAATGCAGCTCTCCATACCTGCCCTTTCTTTCAGATTATTAACACACTCGGAGCTTGCACCCTTGAGAGCCTCCCTTGTTCCCATGGAACACTGCATAACCCGTTTCTTCCAAGAGTGCGATGGAGACCAGGACAAACTCATTGCTTTGAAGGAATGGTGCCACTGCTTTGGGATTAAGGAAGGTAAACCTAAAAGAATAGGCAAATGTATCTGATAGAATGTTCCTGCCAAGAACAGGAAGTAAGAGTAAGACCTCAAAGTAAGGCAAAGAAATTGTAAGCAGAAGCCCATGGCTACAGTGCTGAGAGGAAAACAGAACACTAATAACAAGACTGCAAAAGGTCAAGAGAGTTAATAACATAGCACAGGTTAATCCCAGAAGAGTTGTGGGACAGAAGGCATTTGGCCAAACAAGCAGACTGAAGAAATGTGTTTAAAATCCTACTAGCAAGTCCCTAATTTAAGTGGAGGCTGATTCTGGCCAGAAGTCAGACACATGGAACCTTTGCTCTTCTCAGAATTTTTCCAGCTCTTCTGATGACATTTTAACAGCCATGAAGGACGAAAGCTGCAAGGAGTTATCTCAGTACATGTATACTTCTGCCAGTGATTGCTCATTCATAGCATCAGTCACTTTATTGATAGTGATACGGCACAAAACTGTCTCTTCGGCATAAAATGTTAATAATCTTTTCTTCTTCTTTGTTGCAGAGGACATAAATGAAAATCTCCTTTTCTGAGCCCAGCTGAACAGACTCCCACTAATGCACTAAAATTGATGAATCCTGCGTACTTCTGTAATTAACAGCTTAACAGCCTTCAAGAAAATGGTGGAATGAGGTTCACTGAATTCTTATCAAACAACCCAAGTGCAGAAAATTTATATATTCATTAACAGCAGAAAAATTTAACTACTTCATAGCTAAAAAAACAGTGTTGCCCCCCACATGTATCCATGATCTTTCTGAACCAATAAATACTACTAACCTAATGACTAAGCTGTTCACAAAACTCTCCAGTAGAATTATAGAATGTAGATGTTATCACCCACTGATATGGGATCTGTTTCCTTTATTTACTGTATTGTCAGCTTAACACACTGCATAGAAGTCTCAAATAAAATAGAAGTCTGTTGGAGATATGGGTTTCATCACAACTTTGTTGAAGAAAACTGTGCTTCTTTCACCTTTGCCCATCTTTTGCTCTCCTCAAGAGAGGCACAATTTAAGCATAAAAAACCCAGGACAGGACGAGATTATTCCTGAATCCCCATAAATTTGTGATTTTAAGGTAAGCACTTCACTGAAAACATTCCAGGCATATTCTGCTTTAAGGAAAAAGCCCCAAATATTCCCACAAAGGATGATCAGCAAACACCTTTCACCTGAACCATGTCACCTCTCCAAAGAAAAGAAGATGGGAGTGAGAAATGCTATTTTGGTAGCTTAAATAGTGGAAGTCCCATCCCCCTCTGCTAATTTCCTCTTGAACCAGCAAAGGCTGATAATTGTAGTCCAATGCCAGGCTGATGCCCTTGGATACAATGAATTAAGCTGTGATTATTTTCAACACAAGGACTTCTTACACAAACCAGAGATTACTTCCTAACACTGCCAGTTTTTTCCCATAATCCTGACTTGTTGCTCACTTCACATTCTGCAACATTACACAGCAGTGCGTAAATAACTCAGCCTGGATGGCATGAACAAAAGCACATTCTCTATGCTAGTTCCATTTGGAAAAGATACTTTCTCTGGGACTTCAAATATTTTGGGAGAGAAAGTAATTTTGACAGCACTTTTCCAGCCTGGCTGCAGCCTATTGCTTATTTGCTCTGTCTTTTGTTTAACCCACACAGAGTTGGGTGGCAAAAGCACAGCTCTCAAACTGCAAGTACACAGCTGGCCTCAAAAGGTAATGACTCTAACCCACAAATTCCCATTTCTTCAGGAAAAAGAATTTATGCTGTCTCTAGTTTGCAGCTTCAGTACTCTCAGTATTATCACCCGAGTACTCCTCCAGCATCGCTACAGTCAGAATATCTACAGTGATAAAATAAACAACAAATACTCTTTTCATAACACATTTCCACTGCCAAGCCTGTCAATCCTCTAAGGATTAGTAGTGGTTGTTACAAAAAAAAACTGCAGTTTTTATCAGCTGAGAAGTAAACTAATAACACAAAACATCTGAAGAAGTGATGATTCATAATATTTTGTGGTTTTCTGATGCAAGACAGAGCATTAAAAACTGTATATAGAGACTGCAGATCCACATCCCCTAACTCTCTAAGCAGGGTCTGCTCTTATGGATCATGCTTTCAAAACCCAACTACACTGCTGGGAGTCTACTCTGCATAACGCAGCACATCACAGAAGAAAACAGGCAGGAAGCAGTGCGCAAGGATTGAAAGAAAAATTCATACCTTTTGACACTACCTTTTCCTTTGAAAAGAACACCAATTACTCCACAAGATTCCTGCATAAACACCCATAACTCCTCCAGGTTTCACTAGCTAATTGGGAGGCAGAGGTAGGGTTGAAAAGGAGAAAATCCCAAACCCATTAATTAGTTAAGCAGGATGTGGATAAAGTCTCAATAGTGCATGAGTGTGTCACAGTACTGTTACACAAGAATCATCAACTTACTTCAACACATGGATCAAAATTCCTGAAGTCCTCAGGTCTCAATATCAACTTTCAGCTGTCACTGTCACCAACTCCTGACACCAGTACACAATTAACAGCAATTGATTAAAAACACAGAGAGAAATATCAGCAACTGTTGTGCAGCCCCTGTTAGCAGCACAAATGCCACAGAAAGCCCCCATCAGCCTCCTGACTGCAAGTTATTCACATCACCTGTAGGGTAAGAAACCAGCACAATTTACAAGATTATATTTCAAGGCTGCTCTTTCCAGTGATTCTGTTTATGATGCAGTCTCCACAACAGCTGTACTGTACCCCGCAAGCCATGGGAAGAGAAGGAACCACAAAATTCAGCTCCTCAAATCAGTCACAACTGCTTTTGACACAGAGGCACAGTCACACATTCAGATGTGAATCCCAGCCACACTGTAAACTAAAAAGTAATTGAATGTGAAAACTAATCACTCAAAGTAGAAAATCCCTGCAAAGATATGTTAAGTGAAATGACTCAGAAAAGAAATTTCACTTTATTATGCAGCACTTAAGTCATTATTCAGGTTATCCTACAAGTCTCTCATTCCTGAGGGATTCATATTCCTGGAAAGGAATCATTGCAAAAATAAAGAGCCTGTGAACTACCACCAGTCAGAATGCCAGTGCTGCCATGCAGATCTGCAGACATTATGAAACAGCCGCAAATAATGAAGCCAAGAAAGCAAAGCAAGAGCTCCACATTCTTCTCATTTCACACTAGCTAAGAAATCAAAAGAAGCAATCTGAAGTCTCTGAAAAAGCCTCTGTTTATCACTGTCCGGTGTTTCTCCCAGCTGAATTTCACAGAATTTTCACTGAGGATGACAAGGACATCTGTTTCAAGGCTGGAAAACATATTCTCCTCTCAGAGTCTGTCAGTTCCCAGTTTCCATCACTTGTGGCACTCAGAGCCAGGATCCTCACTCCAGTGGGCTCCCCGTTTCTCAGTCACCAGCTTGATGAAGTAGCTGTGACTCGCATACAGCTCAAGCTTCTCACTGATGTCAACCCACTTCACCACTCCAGCATCATCACCTGCTTCCAGAGGCAAGTTATCCATTGTCTCACCTGGTCACAAAACAAGAGTTAGAACACACTATTGCATCTTTTCTTCCTGCTTTTTCCCCTCTCACATCCTATTAGTTCTGCCTTTACACAATGCTCCTTCACAGGCAGCAACCTTCAAAGGCTTCTCAGAGAAAAAAAACAACTAAATCTCTCACTGAATCTCTGGCAGAAACCTTTTTCAGACTTGCACTATTTTAAGGCAAATCTGAATGGCAGAAATGGTGTTAACACCCTGTCATCATTCCTAGGATATCACCAGCAGCATGAAAAGTTACTGGAAACCATCATGACAACATGTACTTATTAACCCAAGTTTAGCCAATACATCTGCCTGGATTTTTGCTTGTTTGCTTAATATTTGACTGCTCCTTTTCTCACATACTATTCTACAGGACAAACTGAATTCTGAAACTTATATACACTTATGAAAAAAAATTAAAATTTTACGGAAGACCCCAAAATAAAAAATACTAGTTTTTAAAAGGGGATGCCTTTGCTTCTGAATTGCTTTTTTTCTCCAAGTTTTCACTCTGTTTTTAAAAAGGATCTCAGGACTTCATAAACAACAACCAAGGAAATGCTTTTCTCTTCTGTATTGGAAACAAAGGCCAAAGATACACTATCTTCACTACTTCGGGGGACAAATAAATCTAGGACCAGTGACATGTGAAACTTCACAACTGGCACCCACTATCCCAAATTCAGTGGAAATGTCATTGCATGAAGTCTCTGGCTTGAACACATCAGAAACATCTAGGTAGACTGATTTATCTTACAGGTGAAATACGGGAGTCCAAGGTAACAGATCAATTTAAGAATCTAGTCCCATATTTTACACCTGACTTTCATGCTCCCCTGATTTCACTGCCATTTTCAGCTCAACAACAGCCCCAATTTCAAACCAACATATGGAGTAAAAGGCAACTAAGAGCATGCCTGGAGATATTTACCTGTTTCATCATGATAGTTCACAGCCTCTGTCTCCATCCAGGCATTATCAGTGTTACGAGGGTCATCCACATATCCTCTGTACACCTATAAGGCCCCAAACAAACCAGAACAAGCTCAGTGTCAAAACAAACAAGGTGGAATCAGTCATGCTTTTTTTCTTTCCTTCTGAGACATTTGCCCTTACAGAGTTTTCGACAGTCCCTTCAATTTCTTACACCCCAAGAAGATGAGCATCACAACATACTTTCATTTCACCTGCACTTCTTCAGGTTTTATACAGCTATGAGTTACATGCACAGCTCAAAAGGCTACCACAAGAGACACAGAGCTCACCACAAAGTGTTCCTGGCTGAACAGCTTCTGGAGCTGCTTCTCCAATTTTGCTTTCTCCTCAGGGGATTTCTGCAGAGAGTTCAAGGCCTCCTCCTCAAATTCTCTCTTCAAAGTAGCAGTGATCTTTTCCCCTGGGTCCACCATTCCCTTGGAGGGGGGGAAACAAACAAACAAAAAAATGCCATCCCTCAGATTCTACACATTTTAACTCCTAGCTCTTAGTATATTACATGCACTTGCATCACACGTGTGCCATATCTGTCTCATGGCTTCATCAGCAGGGAAATGCCAGCTGCCTCTGAAGCTTTGCCCTTACCCCTGGAATGGCCCACTCCCCACAGTCTCTCCTCTTGATGGCGACAAACTGCAAGATGTTCTTGCCAGAAACTGGATGAACAACTTTATTGCCACTTCCATCCCTTTTCCACCTGCAGAAAATGATAAACAAGAACATGTTTTGCTGCTTCTTGACACCTGGGCCTGAGAGAGGAAGAGCAAGGCACTGCAACCTGCGTGGGAACAAACAAAGCAGAGAATGAACAGCTGAGGCAACCAACAAATGCCATCACAGAATCACAGAATTTCTAGGTTGGAAGAGACCTTTAAGATCGAGTCCAACCCATGTTCTAACACCTCAACTAGATCATGGCACCAAATGCCACATCCAGTCTTTTTTAAACACATCGAGGGATGGTGACTCCACCACCTCCCTGGGTAGATGATTCCAGTATTTGACCACTCTTTCTGTGAAAAACTTCCTCCTTAATTCTAGCCTGTATCTCCCTTGGCGCAGCTTGACACTGTGTCCTCTTGTTCTGTCTGTTGTTGCCCAGAGAAAGTGACCGACCCCCAGCTCACCACAGCCACCCTTCAGGAAGTTGAAGAGAGTGATAAGGTCACCTCTGAGTCTCCTTTTCTCCAGGCTGAACAACCCCAGCTCCCTCAGTCGTTCTTCATACGGCTTGTGTTCCAAACCCCTCACCAGCCTCGTTGCTCTCCTTTGGACACGCTCAAGCATCTCAATGTCCCTCCCAAACTGAGGGGCCCAGAACTGGACACAGCACTCAAGGTGTGGCCTCACCAGTGCCGAGTACAGGGGAAGAATGACCTCCCTGCTCCTGCTGGCCACACTATTTCTGATACAGGCCAGGATGCCATTGGCCTTCTTGGCCACCTGGGCACACTGCTGGCTCATGTTCAGCCGACTGTCAACCAGCACCCCCAGGTCCCTTTCCTCCTGAGCACTGTCCAGCCACACCATCCCCAGCCTGTAATGCTGCAGGGGGTTATTGTGGCCAAAGTGCAGGACTCGGCACTTGGACTTACTGAAATTCATCCCATTAGATTCTGCCCATCCATCCAACCATTCCAAGTCCCTCTGCAAAGCCCTCCATCCATCTAACAGATCGACACACGCTCCCAGCTTAGTGTCATCTGCAAATTTGCTAATGAAAGACTCTAAACCCTCATCCATGTCATCAATAAAAATATTAAACAGAACTGGCCCCAGCACAGGCCCCTGAGGGACACCACTGGTGACTGGCCTCCAGCTGGATGCGGCACCATTCACCAGCACTCTCTGGGCCCAGCCATCCAGCCAGTTCCTAACCCAGCAAAGAGTGCTCCTGTCCAAGCCACGGACTGCCAGCTTGTCTAGGAGTATGCTGTAGGAGACAGTGTCAAAGGCCTTGCTGAAATCTAAATAAACATCATCTACAGCCTTCCCTGCATCCGCTAGGCGGGTTACCTGGTCATAAAAGGTGACCAGGTTGGTAAAACATGACCTACCCCTCTTAAACCCGTGCTGACTGGGTCTGATACCCTGGCCATCCTGTAAATTCTGTGTGATGGCACATAATGTAAACTGTCCCATTATCTTGCCAGGTACTGAGGTCAGGCTGACTGGTCTATAATTACCAGGATCCTCCTTTGCACCCTTTTTGTGAATGGTTATTACATTGGCCAGCTTCCAGTCATCCGGAACCTCACCAGTGAGCCGGGACTGTTGGTAAATGATGGAGAGTGGCTTTGCAAGCTCATTTGCCAGCTCTCTCATTACCCTGGGGTGGATCCCATCTGGTCCCACAGATTTATGAACATCCAAGCATTTCAGTACTTCTTTGACTGCCTCCTCTTGGATAATGGGGGGACCATTCTGCTCCCTGACACCATCAACCATTCCAGGTGGGCAGGTGTCTTGAGGGCAAGTCATCTTCCCACTAAAAACTGAGGCAAGTAGGCATTAAGCACTTCTGCCTTCTCCTCATCTGCAGATGCTAAGTTCCCTCCCTTGTCCAATAAAGAACAAAGGCTGGTCTTACCCATCCAGCAGAATTGCAACCAAGGACGGAACAATGAGGGTTTTCCTCAGCCAAAAGGGCAGAAAATGCCCATGAGGCATATTTCTGCAGCTAAGCTGGTAGCAGCAGCTCCTCTGAAAGCTGTCCAAGCTGCACTTGTGCTAATTCATACTAAGAGGATGAGAATGCTTCTGCTGGAACAGAATGGTCACACAAGCTGCAGCAGCACCAGGACAAAGCCACAAGCAGTCACCAGTGCCTTCAGTAAAGAACTAAGAACTACCAATAGGCAGAGCAAAAATCTGTCTAAAAAAAAAAATTAAAAGAAATAAATAAATTTTTAAAAAGTTCCAGCATTCACTTTCAAGGAAGCTATTCAGTAGCATTGGCATCCTCCAGGAAAGGGGAAGAAGTGAAATGCATCAGGATGATTTTCCACAATGTTTCTGTCTTCAGCATGGCACTTTCTAACTCACACTTCTGTTAACCACACAATCTTTTCTGAATACTTTGTGTAAAATGGTTAGCATGTACCCACACATCCTTCTGGAAAAGCACATCAAAACAAAGCATACAGAGACAAAAAGAGCATCCTAATCCTACCTCCTCCTGTCATAGACTAAGTCAAGTTAGTGTTTCTTACATTAACAAAAGCAGAATGGGCTTACAAACAGAAAACAAACAGAGAAAAGGGCCATGAAAAGTAATATCCTGCCCAGAGAAGCAGAAAAGAAGCAAAATGCATGGATTTTTTCTCTACTGCAGGGTACCTTGTAGTTACCTGCCCCTTACCTGGTAACAATAGGATCAGCAGCGTGGTTTGGTCCCCAGCGCCCTAACAATCCTCGGCCAGTGAGGCCAGTCCTTCCCACTGGATTGCTGAAATAAATGCCACAGTACATGACTCATGTAGTCCTGAACTGGTTCCAACTGGAAATTAAGCCCAGCCACACCCAGCTCCTCTGATCTCTGAGGACCAGCTGAAACAAAAGGGAATTTATTTTCTGCTAAATTTCCAAACCCTTAACATATTTAATGTATTTATTTCCCCACATGCAAAACATTCTACAAAAAAAAGAAAAAACAAACAAAAAACCCCAACCAAAACAAACTCAAAAAAACACAGATCAAGATTAAATAACAAAAAAGGGAAGGACAGCAACACATATTTTGTGTTAAAGCACATGCATGCTTTAAAGGGCAAGAGACACAACACGTTTTTCTCATTCACCAACTTAGATTCTTCAAACTAGATTCCATTTTTCTCTCTTGGCTTTGTCCTAGTAGGTACCATGTATTGGAACTGATAGACCTGTAAGAGCACTGAAACTACACCACTGAAATGAATATACAAACAAAAACTCCACACTCACCGGGGTCTCCCATTTTCGACCACATACAAACCATTCAGACTCTTCCTCTCCACTTCTCCATCTCTCTCATTGAATTTGGGAGAAAAACCTTCATCACTGTGTGGCAAATAAGAATTTAACAGAGACAAATTACAAAACACAAAAGCTTGTATGCCACCCATCAGACCAGCAGCACCCCTTTGTGTGTTGATGAGCAGTTTTTACTAGAACTGGAGTTGCAGGCCCTGCCTTTTCTAAAGGAGGCTATGAAGTCCTAAGCTTTTCTGATTACAGTCCCTCTGTATTTAGTTCTGCAGGGAAAAGTGCAGAACTAAAGTATTTATATTGCATCTCTCTCAATCTTCACTTAGACAAAGTGTGTCAAAAGTATTTTTGTTAAGACCAGAGGTGTAGAATCACAGAATCATTTTGGTTGGAAAAGACACCTAAGATCACCAAGTTCATTGCAGCACTGCCAAGCCCACTACTAAATCATGCCCCCATGTGCCACATCCAAATATCTTTTAAATGCCTCCAGGGAAAGTGATTCCACTAGTTCCCTAGGCAACCTGTTCCAGTGCCTGATAAACTTTTTGGTGAAGAAATTTTTCATAATATCCAATCCAAACATCCCCTAGCACAACATGAGGCTCTTTCCTCTTGTCTTAGCCCTTGTTACTCAAGACAGAAGAACTGACACCCACATTGTTACAGTCACAAAAAAAATCTGTGTATCACAACCTTTCACACTTCCTGAGTCAGAGAGCTCCCTTCAAAAACTACAATTACACTTTCTTTTTTCATGTTGCATCCCAACCATGAATAAATAAACAAGTGTATCACTAAAATGTTCTTCCAAATTCTTAAGGAGAATTAGATTTTTATTTAGCTCACAACACAGAGAAACATATGCACAGCATCAACAGCTGTCCATTATTCCAGTCTCAATCATCAGCTCAGTAAAATATGTATCAAAGACCTTCACAACAATCCAAAGTACTGAGTTCTCTAACTACCACTTTCCTTAATCTTAATTTTCACACATCACTGTAGAATTACACATCATTTAAGATGATCTTGTTACCTCAATTCATGATTATTTCCTGCTTTCATGTTCTCAGGGGAAAAGAGTCACCATTTCTACTCACTTGATTTGGGGATCTGCCCAATTGGGTCTGGCCAAAACAGACTTTGCAGTGTACTCCACAGGATTATAATCTTCCCATTCAGTCAGCCAGCCCACTTTATCTTCAGGAACTTGGCTACGCTCAATGTGTGATCCTGGATATGGGGAGGTGAGAGCTTTTCTGTGGTGGAACTTCACATTATAACTGTTGAACATGTTTACAGGATGAAGACGGGACCAACAGCTTGCAGATAAATTACTAAAAGGAAAAAAAACAAACATCTCATTCATGCTCTTTAATATAACATGCTCTTTAATCCCCAGTCATTAAAGTACAATACAGCAAACGGAATAGACTCAGCTCTTTCACAGAACCAATTAGGTTGGAAAAGACCTTTGAGATCATTACGGCCAAACTGTGAACAAATACCGTCGTGTCACCTCGACCATGGTAGTGGTGACACGCGCCACGTCCAGTCTTTCCTTGAACACCTCTGGGGATGGTGATTCCACCACCTCCCTGGGCAGCCCACTCCAACGTCTAAAGAAATTAGAAGAAATTCCTCCTAATATTCAACTCACGAAATGCCTGAAGTTCACAACAAAAACCTTTAAAAGACACGTGGGAAAGGGCAAACCCGCCCTTGTACTTTCCAATAATGCCATCACTTTAAGGGACAGCTCCGCTTGCCTTTCCCCCGAAGGGACACTCTGAGGGACACCGCACCCTCCGGCCCAGCTCCCCCTCGGCGGGCAGGGGGGTGTGCGGCAGCCCCGGGATCTCGGCCGAGCCGTGAGCGGCTGCTCCCGGCGGAACAGGCCGCCGACCCTTGGCAGCGACACCGGGACGCGATCCGGGCTCCCATGGCTCCGCCACCGCCACAGCCCGCCGTACCTGTGGGCGGGGCGGCGCTGGGCAGCGCCCCGGGCCCTCAGCAGGACGGAGAACGAGAGCACTACCACCACCCGAGGCAGAGCTCCGGCCGGCAGCGGCATCGGCGCCGCCGCGCCCGCACCGCGAGCGATCCCGCCTCCGCCTCGGCCCCGGGGCCCGGGCCGGGCCGGGGCTTTGCCCTGCGATGCGAGGCAGCCCGCTGCAGGATGCCGCTTCTTGATCCCGCCCCTTGATCCCGCTTCTTGCCGCCCCGCGCTGCTACAAGCTAGCCCCGCATTGGCGGGAGCGGCATCAAGGGCAGCGCCCGCTGCCGGCTCTAGCCGGGGCGGAGCTCCGTCCCCAGGGCAGCCCCGCAGTGCCAGGACGTGCACTGGCACTCAGGAAAGGGTGGTGACACACCCGTGTTTGGCTGCCGCTGGGCAGCGCTCCCACAGCATCACTGCTGTGTCCCAGCATTCCCAGCCATACCAGTGAGCAAGATCCTGGACAGGAACACAACCAGGCCAGCTGACCCAAACCGACCAAAGGGTTATTCTATGCCACATGACGTCAGCTCAGACATAAAACATAAGGAAGGGAATGGAGGGCATTCGTTATTTACAGTGTTTGCCTTCCGGAGCGACCGATGTGCGTGCGGAAGCCCTGCTTCCCGCGGGGAAGTAGAAAATAACCTTTCCTCTTTTATATCTTTTACTTTAATCAACTACCTTATCCCAAGCTAGGAGTATCCATTTCCATGTTACTGTCCCTCCCCTGTGGAACCCGGAAGAGGAACCGACAGCGCAGTTCGGGGCGCACCCAGCCCCGCGCGGCCGGGCCCCCACACGCCCACGGCCTCGCACCGCCCACAGACACGCCCCCGCGCTCAGCCACGCTCTGATTGGGCGCCGAAGGCCGGGGCGTGGCCTCGGCAGGCTGTGGGGCGGGCGGCGCTGACGGCTCCAGCGCAGTTCGGTCCTCAAAAGAGCTCCAGGAAAACAATGAATCTGTTTCTGGAGCTTCTCCTGTTCCTGGCCACGCTTCTCTATTCCTACCTGGAGGCTTTTGTGAAGCTGTTCGTGCCTGTGAGGAGAAAGTCTCTCGCCGGGGAGCTGGTGCTCATCACGGGCGCTGGCCATGGCGTCGGGCGAGCGACCGCCTTGGAGTTCGCCAAGCGCCACAGCAGGCTGGTCCTGTGGGACATCAGTAAGGTAATGGACACACTCATGTGCTCACTCCGTGTGACCTCCGAGTCCACGGGGCATTTAGGGGCGTAAGAAGGGCAGCACCACTTTGCACCCTCATCGCCCAGCCCCTTCCAGCCCGCTCCCATCGGCTCCCGCTTGGCTCCTGCGGCTGGGATGCTGAGCGCCAGGAGAGGATTTGGCCCCACTTGCAGCAGAGGACGTGGGGCTCTGGTCCCACAGTCACTCGGTGCTACTCGGCAGGGAGCAGGCAACACCCGGCAGAGCACCTGCGACAGGGAAAGAAGTGCTCGGGAAGCTGCTGGTGGAGCTGCTGCCTGGGCTGGCAGAGAAAGCCCGCTGATACCAGAAGGCTGTTTGCAAAGAGCAGCAGGTCTGCCTTCATTGTTCTCTCCGTAGCCTCGGGTGTTTTCTGTGCAGTGCTGGGAGGTGTGTTTTCTCTGCACTCTCACCAGCAGCATCCCTGTGCCGGGCTGTAGGTGAGCCCGGCTGCCCTCTGGGCAGCTGCACGCGTAGATGGCATCTTTCTAAATGTTTACACCGGCCAAGCTCTTTATTTCAGATTATTTAAATGGACTGGAAAAACGCCGTGGCAAGTGGAAGATGGGCAGATACAAACATGGAGCATAGTATTCTGAAGGAATCCAGGCCAAGTGCTGGTGTGGGTGCAGCAGGGTGGGTGAGAGGCTGTGTTTTCTGTTTCTGACACGCTGGGTTAGCAAAGGAGTTAATCATGAAGCTGCAAAACAGAATTCAGCCCTCCACAAACAAAAATACATCAAACCTGAGGCAAGCTGAGTGAGAGGACGGATAAACAGGGAAGATAGTGTTGAACATTTTCAGTGTCTATTAATGGTACCCATTATGCCTAAGACCAGACTTTGGAGGGGTGGGAAGAGGCATGGCACGGCTGCAGTGCATGCAGGGCTGCAATGAAACAGAAAATTGTTCATGTTCACTGGATGGAATGGGGAGATTTAGGTATAAATGTAGTAGCGAGCGACACCTGGCTTTAGAGCTGGGAAGTAGATTGTAAGCGTGGGTGTCAGCACGAACTGAAATACAGTATCAAGGGAGGCTGTGGATTCCAGAGGATTTAGGAGTATGCTCCTCCAACCCAAGTGCCTTGACAAGGGCTCCTTCTTGGGGGCTCTCAGCATTAAACAGCAGCTGGTGTTGAGGCCAGCTGCCCAGTCACCCAACAGAGGGACTGCTGACCCAGGCTATTTATGACCTAGAGCTTTTCACTGCACAGGTTCCACTGGCATGGCCTTCTGGCACCTGGGAACAGGGATGCAACAAAGTCACTTCTGCTCTGGCTTAACGAGTTGAAGTAATGACTTCAGGGAACTTCTGACCTGTGGGTATCAAAGGTCATTCTGAAATTAAAATCTTTGTACATTGTGAACTGTGGAGGGCACCTCTCTTCTCACACCCAGCATGTAAATACAGAAACACATAGAGCCAGTTTCTGTATCTCAGGGTGTCAGCCAGGCCTGTATTTTACAAGCTGTTTACATTCACAGTGCTGTCTGCTGGGCTGTGATAGGCAGCGTGTGCCCCCTTTCTGCAGCCTTGCTCTGTCTGCCTTACCAAGCCAAACTCACTCTTGTTGCCACCCTACCTTTCTGCCTGTCACTACATGCAGATCCTAAATTTAAGGCTGAAATGCCTGTCCTCTCAGCAAAACCATCTACAGCTCTTTCCCTGGGTAGCTATGAACTGTTCAGGGGCTGGGCAGTGGTTGCTCAATCCAGGAACATCTTCAGCCTCTGCTGCTCAGCTGTGGTGAGGGGACAGCTGTGCACGATGTCTTTCTCTTTGCCTCTTCCAGCACGGCATTGAGGAGACGGCAGCAGAATGCCAGAAGTTGGGAGCCACTGTTCAAACCTTCGTGGTGGACTGCAGCAAACGGGAGGAGATCTACAGCGCTGCAGACAAGGTGGGGCAGTCTCGTTGTGACAGGCCCCCAGCCGGGTAATAATTAGCATTGACTCCATGATTCACAGAAGGCAGATCAATCTCTTTATTATATTATTATAATTATTAAGAAACCCATTGCTTTTATAGACAGTTATGATACAGTTAGACCTATCTGGTCCTCCAATCCAAACACCATCGCTATTGGCTAATTAAGAAACCACCCTTTGGTAAACAAATCTCAGTAACACATTCCACATGTTCACAATAGCAGGTCCAGCAAGTGAAGATAAGAATTGTTTCTCATTCTTTTCTCTCATCTTCTCACAGTCTTCTCCAGAAAGGCCTGGGAAAGTTATTTGTTGCTCTCTGTGGCCAGAGAGCTGCTGCCACAGGGCAGCAGGGGCATGGCCAAAGGCTTTCCCAACCATGCTTGATTTCCAGAGAAGGCAGGAAAACTAGAGAAGACGTGTTGCACATGAATCATGCAAGCCCCTGGAAGCTCTCCATTCCTCACTGCTCTCTGGACACAGAGTGCTCTAGCATTTCCAAGATCACAGCCAGTCTCATCCTATTTGGGAGGCTCCAGCATATCACATCCTCTTGCCAAGTTTGCTCTCTAGGGTTGCAGCTTCTGAAGGAACATAGCACTGAGAACATATGAAACATTTTATTGTAATGGCTGTGGCCCAGCTGCCTCAAAACAGTCTGTACCTCTGTGGTCCCAAGTGTTGTTGGACAATACCCTTTTCCTGACCCAGAGATGGGGCAACTGAGAGGCATTTTAAAAACTTTTTTTCCATTTTCAGTCTTATGAGAAGGGTGAGACAATACAGATGTTATAATTCACACCATCACAATCAGAAGCCAACTATTTCCTAATTACAATACACTTTAAGCATTTCTTGACCTATCAGCTTTTTGCCACACCATGCTGTAGATGCCTTAAAGTCCATCATCTAAAACTACCCCTCGTGGGCCCCAATACAATGCAGGATTCATAGTTCTATTTCTCCAAAGTATCTAGTCTTATTTGCAAGGCCATCTTTTGAAACTTTTCTGTAGCTCCATTTCTCTCTTAACAATATCTGTCCTATTCCATGGCATTTCTAAGTCAGCATTTCTTGTCTTGGTTTGCATATGGATGCATACTGTGAGGACCTTCTGTCAGGCCCTGAGAACTCTCTACAAATCCATTTCCCACACCAATTGTGACTACGCGGTCCAAACTGTGCATAGTTTGTGGAACACAATAAATACTGACATTAATGAATGGGGAAGAATCAGATCTAAAGCAGATTCCATGGCTCTACTGCAAAGTTCCTGCCACATCTGGAAATGTGGCATGATCTCCTTCTCCCTTGAAGATGCAATCTTAAGAATTTAATTATGGTTCATCTTCCCCACCCTTACATTTTTTTTTTCCTCCTCCTGAGTAACAGACACAATTTTGGGCTTTTGTTTTCTCTGTTAAAGGTGAAGAAGGATATTGGGGATGTGACTGTCCTGGTGAACAATGTTGGTGTGATTACAGCTGCCGACTTTCTCTCGACTCAGGACCACCAGATAGAAAAGATGTTTGAAGTCAACATTCTGGGTCACATGTGGGTAAGGGCCACCACCATCTATAGATGCAGTTGTTTGGGAGTGTCAATGAGGATGCATATTTAGACCAGCCATGATTAGCAGTGAAATTACCAAATGAACTGTTACAGCACAGGGGCACCCAAGCAGTCTGTGTGCTGGGAAACTGGAATGGCTCCTTGCTGATGTGAGCTGGCTGGTGGCAGCCTCATCTGCAGCACGCACAGATGCCTCTGTCAGAGGTGCCGTGTGGCTGACAGGGTGGGAGGGCTTCAGCAGTACTTGTTTGTGGCAGAAGAAAAGAGAAGCCATAGATTGACAAGTGGTTTGTTGTGTGTGCTGGGGCTGAGACCCTGCCAGCATTTCTGCTGACATCTGAAACCTTAAAAGCAGCAAAGGAAAGATGTGAAAACCATTTCCTGTTTATGGCCAACTGCTGCAGCCTTTGGAGAGCAGGTTGCTGGAGCTGCACCA